GCAAATTTTTTCTTTTTAAACATCACTAGTTTTCGGAAAACAACTCTCCAACTAGAGCTTTTAATTTGAAACATCTCAATTATTATATGCTTGCTACATTTGTCTTAATTGAAGAAAACAAACAAATTGATTAAAGAAGCTTTTTTCTTTAGCAGACATGCTGAAAGTTACAAGGAAGACATAACAGAAGGGCTAAGAGCAATGGCTCATTACAGATTGTTAGCATCGTGGTGCCTGGGGGTAGGGAGAAGACAACAAGTGAGCCTGCCAGCAGCAGTATTCATTAAAGTTTGAACCATCCTTCTCACGACCTGACTGAATTTTTCAGACAGCCTCCTTTCTATTTAGTACCATATGACACATCAGCAAGATTTTGGTTTCAATCCTCTCTCTGCAGACTCTCTGGGAGTCTGTTTGGAGCTATCTTCTCCCTAAATGTCAATCAGCCTGCACCTCAAAACTCTGAAAAACAGTACAAATCATTTTTAACTCTTACATTCTAGCAATAACACATCAGAATCTGTCTGTTTTTTGAGTTTTTGTAAATGGTATGATTTAAGATTGAGCAGAAATATTTTCTACCTTTCCCAACGTGACATCATTACGCCCAAGAAGGTGTCAGACACTGTTGTCATATGCAGTTCTACTTACATATATTTCATAATGTCACATACAGTTTCAGGTATACGACAGATAAGGAGCTCAATCTCCCAACTCATTAGGTCTCCAGTGCTATCCTAAGATCCATTTTCTAATTCTCATCCATGCTGTCTGTAGAGACACCTCCTCCACCCACCCCATGTACTAAAGATCACATCTCTGATTCCTCACCCTTCTTTGTTCACAAAATAAGGATAAAAGTTAATACCTCTTAGATTTGTGTTTGATCATATTGCTCTCCTCTAAGGGAACAAAGTTTGACTACAATGGACGCATCCATGGATCATTTTCGTGTGCGATGCAGCACTCCTTGCAAGCACCATAGCTTACTTCTGTTAATATCCTTTTGCTTGAGATAACAAAATGTAGCATAAGTTGACTTTATAATTGAAGTCTGTTAGTTTTGAAATAATAAGACCAAGCAATATTTTCAAGAACGTGCACCTTCCATGCAATTGGGAGGAAAAAAAACATCCTCATGGCAACTAGTTTTAAAATACATTATTTCAATTCTCTTAAAATCAACATCCAAAGAGCTAAAGGGCAGCCTGAAGTTTCACAAGTTTTGGGCAAAATAATCCTGATTCCTCCTCCTGTCCATTGTTGAGGAGCAGAGTAAAAAGACTCGATACATTTCTGTATATCACTTATCAAATAGCCATTTCCTATGTTATCTTAAGAGCAAAATAGTATTACATTTAACTCAGTATACTCAAAACACGCTTAGATGTGTTAGTGATAGATTCTTTAAGCCTGAATGCAATCTATCCAGTATTCATACTCAGGCTGCACTGTGCATAGAAGTGTCAAATGTTAATATATTTAAGTTCAGGAAATAAGTTATAAATAGATTCAATCTCAATGTCACAGGACAGTGACAGAAATAATTCTTTACATTCTTGTAAGTTTTTGCAGTGTTCATTCTTGAATGACAAACATTTCTCCCTGTAAGTCATGCAAGAGTTAGCTTCTTTTGTTAAGAATAAAGAAAACCTTTTCTCCCCCGGGACTTACACATCAAAGCAATATTTTAATTGAGAAATATGCAGGTTATTACTGGGAGAAAGAAAAAACCTTTCCTCAATGCAGCTAAAGCAAGTACCATTGGCATTGCTGAAATTAAAATTATATCAACTCAAAGTCTCTGAAAAATGCAGGTTACTGCCATTGCTGATCTGAACTTTATAAAGTAAAAATGCATGCAAAGCAGTTAGCAGATGAAAACAAACACATTATTATGTCTGCATGATGGTAGATTTCAAAATTGAGACACTCATAAATAACTTATGCAATGCAAGCACTTAGCAAATGTCACAGCAATAGCATTTAATCTATTGTGAGGATGTTAAAAAGGGAAAACATCTACAAGGGCAGGGAAACATCTTGACTGAAAACAAACAGTGCCTGGTATGCCATCCCTGATCCTGGTGTCTGTCCCTTCATGAAATGCAGCAAAACTGGGGAAGCCTTTAAAGGCAGAGTCAGTAACATTACTGAGTGCTAAAAATCAGTAAGGGAAGTAGAAAAATATCTTACAGGAAAATTACAATGCTTACCAAAACACTGACTATAAATCTGAACGTGAGAGAAAATATCTGTACGCTATACAAGAGAACAGAGGATAAGCAAATCCAAATTGGGCAGAATCAGCACTCTTTTCTGACATTCAACTCTGGGAATTCATGAGGAAAACTCATGAATCTACGGTTCATTTCAGGATGCACCAGGAGGAGCAAGAACAGGCAAATTTTCATTATCCTAAATAAAAAATAATCAACTGCTAATGTTAATACAGTAAGATAAATATTTTAACATCCACGTTTCAAGGCATTAGCCAGATGCCTGCAAGGATCAAGACCACTCTATTTTCACATGGAATATGCTTTTCACCATAATATTATGAGAAAGTAACTTTATTTCACTCCCAACGGGTAAAGGGGCAGCTTAATTAGCACACTAAGTAATAAGTCAAAGATGTTTGTTGTTTAAGAAAGCAGTTAGTAAAATCAAGTATCCATAACCAACGAACTTTGGACTCTCTCCCCTCAGAGAAATAACTTCACCATGGATAGAGAAGTGCAAAAGGAAAGCTTACAGTGCTCCTCAGACCTACTATGAAGCAGGCTAAGTGCAGTGCTGTTAGTTTGAAAGATGCTTTCAAGAACACAATTTTTTCTAGTTCAACACAAGGGAGAGGGGGAAAAATCATACACAGAAAATTTGGCCCAGATGCTGTGATCATCCCAAAATTCCTCAACAATTGCCTGTGGGAAACTCCTCTGGCATGCAGCCTGGTTAGGACAATACTGGGTAAGGAACCACTGGCTGCTAGGGTGTCTGAGTTCTTCAGTTTCAGAAACAGAAAAAACTGTGAGTCAAAACGAAGTGGAACGTAATTTCTAAACACACAGACCATGAGCAGCTTCTCCCAAGTCATCCAGCTGTACCACTACATTTTTTAAAGAGCTCCTCAGTCATTAGCTTTGTGTTTGAAGAGTGACAAGTGCTTAAGAGCAAGAATGCTGACATAAGAACAAACAATGAGTTAGCAGCAAATCCAATCGTATCAGAAAGAACCTACTTCCATACATTTGAATTTATAGTAAAGCTGGCATAAATGCATTTAAACGAACAAAAATCATCATACAGGCTATAATTAAACTGGATTTGTCATTTCAAGGTATTAGCATCAGATGTCCAGATAATACAGGGTGACATACTCTTACACTAATAAACAAAGTTAGTAAAGTAAACAAATGCTGTGTTTCTACTGTAAGGAAATACGTGCGCCAATGAAGCAACTTTTTCAGCACAAAAGTAATTTAATCCTCAAACCACATGAAAAGTGATCTCTCTGGGAATAGCACAGCTGCTAAAATCCAAGTCAGTTTTTATTAAATCATCAAGTCTGTTTATGTAAAACAGAGCTCTCTTAAAATGACCTCCAAGAGGAAATGATTTGCTAACAAAAAATTGATACCTGCATTTAATTTATCTACATCAATGTATGTTATGATAAATCAATGTCCTGGGTCAGAGATAAAGACAAAAAAGGAAAAGCTTGTTCTAAAACTTCAAAGACTCCAACATCATACAGTTTTTCCCATTTCTACATATAAATATTTTTTTTTTTATGAAAGCAACAGAAATTGCCAATCATACTTCTGGAACAGAGAGAAAATACTCTTTAACTACTGCTATGCTTTCAACTACTTAAGACAGTAAACACGTCCCTAAAAATAACAGCAGATTTAAGTTCTGTGCTTGAACTTTTGAGGAGAAAATGGACACAAGAATTCCATCAAAACTTGTCAAACACGCCAAGACAGCCTGAAAAAATAACAGGAATACTGTACAAAAATAGTTTCTGCAAAACATCTTAAGATCTCAAAAAAAAAAAAAAAAAAGATAGTCCCTCAAGAGTTTTTGATAGCTATTTGAAACAGGAAGGATAAGCACAGTGGAAACAATGAAAAGAAATTATTGCAGTCAGTCTCTAGGTGCATAAAAGCTAACTAAATTAATGACACTTGCAAGCAGGCCAAATAATGAGTCAAAACTTCTGAATCTTCATATCGAGTTATCTCAAAGCTTTTGAGCCTTCCACTACATGGCCATAGAAAACCTGCCAGAAGGACTTTTCAAGGCCACAATACAGGAAAACAATCCAAGACTAAAAAGGAGGCCTCACACAGACACATTTAGTGAGCTGCCCCAGTGTTCTGGCAGGACATAGGTCAGATTCTAGCAACAGCTGTAAATCCATTAGGTGACTCAGGACTGTCAACGCTAGCATCAAAATGAAACAGTTTTCTTAATAAAGAAATGTTACTGAAGTTGTTTAGTTTTTTTTGACATGTTCTTTGTATGTTGTTTCATACCATAAAATACAAATTTAGACAATATATTTATAATGATACTAAATTAAAGACAGGTAAATTTAAGTTTATTCACTGGGCACCAAAAATAGTTTCTTAAAAAAACAGAACCAATTTTATTCCCTGCTATAAAGCTACAAACATTTACCAGTATTTACACGACAGAACATTTCAGAAATGCACTGTCCCTAATCTGCTGGGAGGTTTTTTTTTTTCCAGTTGTGAGCAAAATCTTTGTTGAGATGCTAATAGGTTGTGTCAAAAAAAAAAAAAAAACAAAAAACAAAACCAGAAAGCAGCTAAAAAAAGAATACAAGGGCAACAGAGCTTTAGCTAAAGTGAGAACACAGATTCCAAGCCTTGAGAAAACGTCAAACATAAAGCAGATTATAACATCTTATAAGTGACCTAGAGCAAAGCCATTCTGTACACAGATCAAGTACAGCAAAAACTCAGACTTACTTTGGGGGAACAGGCTGTGCACTTATCAAATGCCAAACTGACTGGAAGAACATTATCAAATCTTGATAAAAAACCACGGATCTGGAAGGTGAAAAAAATTACAACTATAAAAAGCAGGTTTCCAGAATGTTATGAGTTGGACATAATTATAGCTATTCTTTATCTTTTTACTGAATATTTAGGGTAATACAGTTGAATACAGCAAAGATCACCACTAAGAGCTGTATTAAATTTATACCTGCATATATTACACTTCTATATAGAAATAATGGTACAACTATCTGAGCACCAGATTATTTAAAGATAGAGGCACAGCACCACCTGGCGTTTGAGCTATCAGACTGCAAAACTAAGTGACAAGTCGTGGTGTACGAACTTAAATCATTTCAGATTATACATTAGAGGTGGACAAAATTAACTGCTGCTCTTTCCTAGATTTTGCCATTGATACAACACGTTAACATGTGATTTTAAAATTCTAGACCATTTCTTGTAATAGTATTTGCAGAACTACCCCCTACGTCCACTGTAACAAGCAAAAACAAAAAACTCCATGGGTGTGAGGAGACAAACTCCTGAAAGTGACCTGGAGAGGCTCCAGTTAACAGAAAGGACCACAAGCGAACCTCAAGGACCCCACTTCATGTGATGATCCCCATGTTACTGCTTACTACACAACACTATAAGAAAACAAAACCAGACTAGTTTTACTTATTGCTGTGGTTACTTGGAGATCACCAAAAAAAAAAAAAAAAACCAACACAGCAGCACTTTTAGGTTTTTCTGAATCAAAATTCATCTTGAACACACAAAAAAGCTAACAGAACTCCAAAATTCCACTTACTTGAGAATAAAAATGTTTTTTTGTTGGTTTTTTTTTTTTTTTTTTTTTTAAAACTCAGTAAAACATGAATAAGTAGTACAAAGCAAGAGGAGCGTAGAACTTCAAATACCCAGTGATACATCCCAGGGTATATGATTACATTAAGTTCAGCAGATAGCTTTTTTAAAGACCCTGTCAATATAACTAAAGAAGTCAGTCTATCCATCACTGTGAAAAATGGTATCCTAAACACAAATTTATAGCTGCAGCTTGGGATCAGTACATCATAAAGACTTCTGTGCAGCATCAGAAAATCATGGGTATTTTAGAGAACTGTAACAGTTATGAGTTGGTTGGATCTGATTTTTTTTTTAATCTGTACTAGGGTTGAAAAGAAGAATAAGAGCAACTTTGAGATGCTCATTCTTAGCTCTGATGAGAAAAAAGCAGAGGTTGTAATATTCATGCTGCCTGCTAGTGGCTCTGTCTCCAATAAATTCCTGGTAAGTAGGCAGTGTTGGGATAGAAGCACTGCCAGCAACACTATAACCTTGGCTTGCATTACTCTTAATTATTCTTAATCCAAATATGAAGACTCAGTCCCTTCTGGGAATGGAATCAGATCAGCATACAGTACATTTTTAAGGAGGCAAGCTGTGATGTGTGTCTTATATCAGTACCAAGATTTTAGATGAAATCATTTTCTCACAGATTTCTTACCTGATGAGGAACAAGCCCAAGAGAAGTAGGTGGCTCATTCATCCTATCATCACTACTGCTGGCCACAGCATAACCACTGACAAAAATCCAAGAAGGAAAATTAGAACAAGACAACATACTGAACAGTCAAAGTTTCCAGTAAGCTACAAGGCATTTCATTTCAGCTTGCAATTTAGAATCTGGAAAGTAAGCTATCTGGAAAGATTGCTTCACAGTAACTAAGCTCCAGCATGGGAATACAAAAATCTTCAGAACCAGTTAGGCACTTGTAAGTCACTTGCATTCAAATTTTAATTCACTTCCTCTTTCATTGCTTTTAAAGACAGAAAATAAACCTAAATTTCAGATTAGAAAATTCCATAGACATTTGTGCATCACATGCACTTAGTTTTAATTAGGATTTTGAAGTATTTAGCTTATCTTAAAGCCTTTCTTGTGACAAAAGTAGTTATGACAGCTCATCATTACACTCAAATGCTCTCTTGAGTAAGGGATCTATTCACAGAAAACACTTTCTTTTGAAATATTCTCAATACTTTCATACCTTTAAAGTCAGAGAAAAAAAAACTTGCCAATCTCCAAGACAAAACTTGGATTTGATCATTTAGTTCTCTCTTAAATACCGTTACACTACAGTAAAACATAATACATGATCCATACATCACATTAATTTATAGGCAACATAACGCATTACAGAACTCCCCTACTTAATGCATAGCCCCACCTTCTTCTCCCAAAAGATTATATAAAGTAACTGATTTCTCAAGGAACATCTCTCTCTGAAATGACTCACCCTTCTGGATGCTGTAAAACAGAAACCATTAATTCCACTGCAAGAGCTCCGGCTATCATGGCTAACCCAGGTCGACTGACTGTACACTGCTGATCCAGTGTTCGATCCCTGGTGGACTAGAAAGATATATAATTTTAAAGAAGTGATTTTACTGTTCTTCTAAACAATATATCTTTAGTGACTTGCAATTCATTTCATTTTTGTTTTTTAACTTCCAAATAAAAGATAAACTATTTCTTAATCCTGTGCAAATCAATGTAAGAGGAATCCTTGATGAAATGCTATTTAAAGGAAATAAACATTCAATTCAACAAGAGATACACAATGGTCACCATTTGCGTAACACTGTACTCACATCCCCTGGTGCCACAACATCATTGCAGAAATAGCAGCCCAGCTTGTAGCCAGGGATATTTGAAAAGAGCGACGAGCCCAAAAGGTCAGAAGGACCAGGGGCAGTGCTGAAACATGCGCTGCCAGTTTCTTGCGGTTTGGGTTTCTTCAGTCCATGTCTCATAACGACAAACGTGTCAAACCCCAGGGCAGCATTGATGACCAGCTATGGACAATATAGAGAACAAACCTGAAGTGAGCCAAAAGGAAAGGGGAAAAAAGACCACATGGTTTTCTTCACTGTAAATATCATACAGAAAAGCCCACACAATCTTTAGTCAGATGAATAACCTAATAACTACCTATTTATCATCCTAGCCATAACAAAACCCAGATTTTCTGACATGTGGCAAATCCCAGTTGTCAAGCATTAAAAGAACATACAAATGTTTCAGAACGTTTTTTTCCTTTCTTTCTGGGAACTGATAAAAATGACTTTTTTTGCACAAATTTAGGCATGCCTGTAGACAACAGCGGAACACAAACTCCAAAAGCAGGTTCTAGTTTGCATTTGAAGACAACTTCAAGCCAACACACAGCTTCTCACTTAAGCAACTGAAATTGTTAAGCACTGATTTGAATCAACATCCCCGTATTTATATTTGGCCTAATATTCATACATTAATTAGTACTGCTATTGGAATAACTTGTTATTTCCAGCTCAGTTTATTCCTAAGTTTGCTGCATAATCTGTACCAAACATTGAAGCTCTCAGTGTTAAAATATTCCAAATGCCACTTAAATACAACAGTGATGATCAAGAACAACTTTTCATGTCCTTTGAGATACCATAAGCAATCTGTTCACTTCACTGTGGTCTGAAATAACTCCTATGTGACAAAGCAACACATCTGTTATTCAAAAAACTCTTTGCTCAGTGAGGAAAGCATGTAATTATTACTTATGGTCTTCATATGTATCTGTTTAGTCACATGGGGAGTAAAAGCAGCCATGATATAAAATTACTTTGTCATCATTTTCCCATTTTTCTTCAGTATGAGAAGTGTTGGGAGTAATCTGAAGTTCTATATGAAAAATAAGCAGATACTGAGAAAGTTCTGTTGTGACCAGAATATCATGAAGTCATCCTTAAACTAGTAGATTTTACCAAGATACAGAGGAAAAAAAAACCAGAAATAATGACTCTAGCAAGTAAAATATAAAAGATAATACACTGCTTAACATGCAGATATTTTCAGATAGAAAATTCGAGTACAACACTTCATCATTCCTCTCTCTTACAAACAGGAATAAGACAAGACTTTGAGGAAGCTCTCAAGAATTAGCCACGTTAACTTAATTTTTTAAGATCTTCCTTGGCATTCTAAATAATTTCTGAATATCCATTTTCATTCTGATTGCAGTTTATTCTTTTCTCAACCGAATCTTCTCACTGCAATACTGGAATTATTGGCTCAGCACAACAGTTTATTTTCCAAAAAAGTAATGACAAAAAAAAAAACAAAGTTAACTTTTGGCCAGAAAAAACCCCACTGACATGCTTTTTAAATTCAGAAAGCACATTCCCATTTTTCATTTTTGGGATTTTGAAAGAGTGACATTTGAATGTTTTCAGTCCTCCTTACTTGTCTTAGTTTCACCAACATTTATATAGTTGCTTGCTAAGCAATGCTGCACTGCTGCACAGAGTCAAGGCCATTCTCAGGATGAGGACAGCTGACTTAAACTGGCCAAAGGAATACTCTATCCCTTATTATATCAAATGAAAGGAGTTTTGAAGGGGGTGGGAGTTGCTGTCTTCCTCTTCCACTGCTCAGGGTGCTAGCTGGGCATTGGCTGGGAATGCTGAGCTATTGCTCATGCATCACTTGTTACATAGGAATATATTTATACAAATAAATAGTTTTTACTTTTTAATTTATAATATTTACACATAAAATATCCTTTCTTTTCTCTATCTTAGTAAAAAGTTTTAACTCAATCCATGAGTTCTAATTGTTTTTTTTATACACACTCTTCTCCATCCCATTGGGAAAGGGAGGAAGTATGACTGTGTGGTGCTGGGCCACCTGCTGGATTAAACCACACTACTCTGCTTCTCTTACACGAAATTACATTTGGAGATTCTTAAAGGACACTGAGGAGAGAAGACCCTAAGCAATATGCTGTAATTTGGTCCCAGACCAAACAATCATATGGATCAGACAGCCTTCAGAGGTACCTTCTGATATGTATCATCCCATGTTTCAGGTTTCTACTTTTTCCCTTCAACATTCTCTTTTTGTCATATACAGAATCTTTGAGGTTACAGAAAACAAGAGAGATTTCTGTATAGTCATAACAAGCTGGTCATTCATTTTGCTTTCCCATACAGTTCTTTAGGTATACACAGCTGATTTATATGCAACAGCTGAAACGCAGTGATAAGGCTGAAGGAGCTGGGAATGTTCAGCCTGGAGAAGAGGAGGCTCAGGGGAGACCTCATTGCTCTCTCTAACTTCCTGAAGGCAGGTTGTAGTGAGCTGGGGGTCGGCCTCTTCTCTCGTGTCATCAGTGATAGGACCAGGGGGAATGGTTTCAAGCTACGGCAGGGGAGATTCAGGCTGGACATTAGGAAGTATTACTTTTCAGAAAGGGTGGTCAGGCACTGCAATGGATGCCCAGGGAGGTGGTGGAGTCACCGACCCTGGGGGTGTTCAAGGAAAGGCTGGATGTTGTGTTGAGGGACACGGTCTAGTGGGAGCTATTGGGAATAGGTGAACGGTTGGACTGGGTGACCTTTTAGGTCTTTTCCAACCTTAGTGATTCTATGATTCTATTCTATAAGATTATTAGCAATATTTGCTACAATACCTTCCTCTTGCTGGCTGCAATAACAGCAGGAAGCCATCGACTCTCTCTAGTGTCCATTAGTAGGAAAACAACATCATGAGCATCAATAAGCTCTTCAAGTGTAGCCACATCCTTCCGAGCCTGTGCCATTGTTACTTCTGAAAAATTCACTGGATGGCCTGGCATAGGGATGCTCATGTTATAGCCTTCTGAATTCTGGATGGAGGCAGAGTAAAACAGCAGCATGTTAAAACAAACTTTTGGCTTAACAGAATTATTCTAAAGTGCTACGGTTTGGCAGAAAGGCAACTTCACTCTTTGCATCTCTCATCAGAAGGCTTGTTAGGTCTAGCAAATCAGCTCCAGAAGACAGCTGAACTGCTTCTAGTCCCAAAGGGAACAAACAACGACGAAGCAAGCAGAAAGGTCTTGCTCACAATTAAGATTGTGTTGTTAAGTTATACAAAATCATTATCCTGGATTATCTTTGCAGCTACCTGACACACAACTACTAGATTTCTCTGATACCAACTACCAACTCCGTTACAATATGATAAATAAGAATTATTGCTCATTCTTCTCTCTAAACAATAGTCTTGAGTGATTTTCATGTAATTCATGTAATTAAATCCATATGCAACCTTTATATATAAGGAAGTAACTTCTGAGGCTTGTGACTCCAGGCTTTGGATAACTGGAGGCTTCCATTACTTCCATTACTTCCATTACAGCCACTCAAAAAGCTTGTTCCTGTTGCAGAATCAATTAAATATTTCTGTAACTGAGTATCACCAAGAAACAGTGGTACTGTAGCACAACAAGGTTAAAATCTGTGAGGTGTTACATATTCTTTCATGACTTATCAGAAGTTCTGGAAGTGAAACGCCTAGCATATTTTCATATTAAAGATCATTGTTTGATAATCCAACATTCATTGAACAATTGCTTAGTACTAGTACTGACATTCAAAGTAATGGTAACAATAGGATCACCACAGATAAAAGCAAAACAAAAACAGAGCAATCCTCAGGTCAAACTAAATGAACCTCAAATCTCTGGAATGGATCTTCTGTAAAGCTTGTTCATAACACTAACCACCAGGAGCATAACCAGTCTGTGTTTCACTATCTGGAGATCAACAGCACTCTGATTAGTAACATAGTCAGGGGTATTTTAAATACAGAATTGCAGAGTAAAATATGCACTACCCATTTACTTGTTCATGTCAGTGGTCAAGATACTGCTTGTTAGTTAAGCTCTGCCAAGCATAACCACTCTATCAAAGGCAATCTCAATTCCAAAGCAAAAAAAAAAAAAATACAAACAGTTGATGGGTCTGCTACCACATCAACATGAAGGTCTTAATAATGATAAAATGAACTCTGCACAGTTAAAGTCACTATTACTCTCTTATTAGGAGATTTAAAATATTGATCTTACCACTCCTGGGAAGATTTTCTGAAGTCTTTCTGCAGCTGCAAGTGCCTTAGGCTTCCCACCACTGAGACAGTCTTCAAATTCATACAGCGGCTGTCGCACTGGGTTGGAGTATGAAATCCTTGCGTTGTCAACAAATGTAATCTTCCTAACTCCCCAACCCTAAGCAAGAAACTAATTAATATATTAAATACAATGGGTTTAGTCAAACAATTTCGAGTCTCCAACGACAGAAACTTAAAAGGCACTTTGCTCAATTTTTCTACAAAGATCAGCTTTTGAAGCTATTCACAGCAATGGCTCTGTACTTGCACTTAATTAAGAGAACAGGTAACTTAAACTGTCTAAATTTATTACTCTGCAGTAACCCCTCAAAACTTCATTAAGTGAGATGTGGTAAGGATTCTTGGAAGTAAGGATCAACACAGCTACTTCCCATGCTTCATTGTGAATTTGATTTTATAAGCTTGTTAATTTGTTCCAGAATTTTTCAATGCTTTAAATGTAAATTCAGTATCTATTCTTATCATGCTAAGTTTCTCTTACTGTTCTACTATAAGCAGAACTCCAAGCCATTTCCATTCCCTACAGATGTTCCCTGCAATTTATAATGTAAATTATAATGCATACATTAATACATAGGACTACAACTTTTTCCCTTATGTGCCATGGCAGCTGCTCAAAAAGTGGTAGAACTACTGATAAACAGCAGATTTTTACGATTAACTCAAGACTTACCATCAAAGTCCTTGCCACACTACAACCCAGCGTACCAGCTCCTAGCAGCAGACACTTGGCAGACACAATTTTTTCCAAATCAAGAGTAGGGACCAACCGCCAGCACATCAATTTCAAATTAAGATCCACCGATGATTCTGCTAACCTATACCACAAAATAAATAGAAACGCTGATGAATATTATGGGGTTTTGTTTTTCTTTTTTTTTTTTTCCCCCAAACAAAGCAAAGACCTATTTCAACTGTTTGGGTTTTTTTTTTCCCCAAAAGGAAAGAAAGAAGTGGAATAGACCATTCCCTCAAGGCACATGCCAGTAGTTCTCATAACACCTTCTCCTTCTCACCTTGATTTCAGCTACCTTTTGCCTTTCTCTCAATTTTGCTGTTCGTGACAACAGAGCTGTGTTTTTATTTGGTCTCCTAAGTTATTATTCTGGATCTCTATTTTTCCTATTCAGGTCAAACTCACTAACTCTGAGATCTACTGTTCTACCATCTTTCCATTATATGAAGGCATATTTAGAGAGAATAAAGGAATACTTGTACTTTCTTGTGAAGAGTGAAGCATATCTCAGCTTAGAACAGAAGATACCATGCCAGCAAGAGCATCAGTACATTGCCTAAACAATTCAACGTGTTAAATAATGTGAAAGAATTAGTCTGAAAGGCTCATCTCCACTTAAGGTGGAAATCAAAAGACATTTGAAACAACTTTCTCTGTTGTTCATCCACTTGTGAGACAACACAATGCTATGTTCCGAAGAACACTAGCTATAAATTCTTCTAACCGTTCTGCCATTGAGATATTTAGGTACATACATAACACAATTACTCTTTTGCCAGATTGCTTACTAGCTATTAAATATACCAGATATATTCTTTGAAACTTTCTCTTGTAAGGAATGCGTTGGCTGAACATCTCTTAACAACGTTCTTGTAAAAACTCCGCACTGCTTAAAAAAGAATAGCAAATCACTACCGTAACAACCATAAAAGTCTGCAAGCAATGAACAAGAGCCTGCATGCTGTGCTTGTCAAGATCTGCACCAGCAGAGATGATCCACTGTTTCATAGCTGCTGTGATGGCATTATTGCTAGGAGAACATTGGCCACATTGACCATATTTCATCAGCCTGAATAGATATTATCTGTTCAGGTTGTCTTCTCTGGCCCGATTCCGTAAGTTCAAGCCTTCAGCTTAGTCAGCATGGTGATGCAGCCATCAGAGATGATGCTTTACCAGGGTTCCAGGAAATCTGGAAGGATCACCACTTTATCTGCCACTCCAGGGACTGATGTTTTGACTTTGGTTCAAAATGGTGACACCAAATCTCACCAGTAAGAATGCAATCCAGCCTCATAAGTCCTGAGAAACATGTATATGGTGTTCTTCCTGTTCCTGAGCAAGTACTTATGGGATCCACCTGGCACAAACTTTACGATATTTCAACATTTCCACCACTGCTTCCAACACACTGAAGATGTTATTCAGTTCTGTAAGCAGTTCCCTGGTCATAATCTGCCAATTCACATGGATGAGTTGATTAAGACACAGTTGTGGTTTTATGATTCTCGGTTATCGGTGTTCCACATCATAACATCATGTAGTACATGGGGAGTTAAAGACCTAATGCTCCAGTTCTGGGTACCTGCCCGAGAAGTAATACATCCCCCACAGGACTGTTTGATGTTCCGTTACCATTTCTAGTCAGAGCAAAATATAAAAGACATTCACAGGTCACTTGACCTTCCCTTTTGATCTCAGCAACACGTGAGCTCCCTAGATCATCTCACCTCACCATCAGATAAGGCCTTCAGCTTTCAGACACTCATTTGATTTATTAGCTCCAATTCTATTTATATTATACTATTGTACGTTGCATTCCTTGCATTCCGATTTCTAATTTAGTAAATTAGTTTGTTTCTCATCAGATTGTTGCTGCTGTTCTTTTAGGCCCATCTCTCTACCCTATTTCCCTTTCACACTGCTGTCAAAACTGCAGAAACATACCACCCACAGCTTGACTGCAATAATAACCACCTTTGGTCTCCATAAATGTTCAGCAAGCGTCAATAAATGTTAGTGGATGCCATTTTTTCCTACATGGAAGAATTCAGCTATACCCCCCTGCTCCATATATGCTTCCAAATAAGCTAGAGTCACAAACTGCAGAAATGTCTGCTGTTTACAGTGCACTCTGCTCTAACAAGATGCAAATCCGCACTAGAACCAAAGATCACACAATATGTATATTACTGCATAATCTTCAAAACATTTAGTGTATGTATCACTGCCTTGATTGAGAGAACTCTTGCATTCCACATTTCAACTTGTTATCACTAAAACCCAAGAAAAGAAACTAAAGAAATTCAGAAAATGAAAACCAAACCTTTTTGGATCCATACATTCACTGAGATTGACCACCCTTGGACCCATGCCTCCCTTCTGGTTTTTCTCCCATCCAACAGCTTTTGGACAATCTGTTTCATGAAGAAAGAAGGAAAAAGAAGTTAAACTCTTAATACCACAGGATAGGAAAAGAAAATTCTGTTTGATTTAAACTTACTGGAAAAAAATCAAGCCTTTAGGGAAACAAGCTGCACCTTAATCTAGTTTATGCAGCTATGCAAGTGTTGCTGGATTTAATACCAGATGTCTAATGTGCTGCTTTTGCCTGCTTAGCTTGCTTTATACCTAAGGTGGAAATATCATCATTCCTCACCAAGCCTAGTGATCCTGAATGAAAAACAGATCAGCATGTTTAGCTCTCAGTAAATTCAGAATTCGCTACTAAGTTTCGTGTAGTTCAATCACCTCATCATGATCCCTAGGCTCTATCTGTAAATTCAGTAGAGAATTACACATGCTATTTCTACAATAATTAAACACTTCACAGCTATTGCATGTAAAGCACCCAGAACTTCTTAGGCAAGGTAGAAAAATAGTTCAGATTGTTCAGCAGACAAATTTAGTCTGAGTTTGTACTAATGTGACAAACTGATTGCTTTAAAATACATCTGTCTACTTCATAATGGGACTGAATTCCATTGTTTTATAAGTAAACAGAACAATACGCACAGATTCACTATCATAAGCATTTGCAAAGGGACCGTGTAGAAATTTAAGACTTTTTAAAATCACTTTATATAAGATACTATAAATTGCTACCTGACTTCCATATCTCCACAATAACTTTTTCCTCAGATGTTCTCCTTAAATCCTGCAAATCCTGTTACTAATTCAATAAGGAAGCCTATTCACCCTTGTTTTTTAAAGAACATTCAAATAATTTTCAATTTATTTGAAATAACTTAGTGTAAGCAGTGATTTCACCGTCTCGTTTTTCCTATCTTCATAGTGACTGGGGAGAAAGAAACAGAAAAGGGATTTATTTTCCTCTTTTAAATGGGTTACCTGGGCCAAATGCTCCTTGTGGAAGTTTTATTTCAAAGATAATGCTGTGTGTTATGTCTCTCACCCCTTGCATGGTCCTGTCTCTGAAGCAGAGCACTTCAATTGACTGGAGAATATTGCCCCTGGCAATTAAAAAAACATACAAAGAGACATGATTTTTTTTTTCCCCCCATAAAAAAGGAACTTATTTTAACTCTACTACATAAAGTTTCAGTCTTTTGTAGATTCTGACTAAGTGGAACACTACTGCTCTCACTGGCTATAAACACAGTTGTTTAGCACATGTAAACGATCACACTCTGCTGAGACAACTCCAATGAATTGACACTAAACAGCATGTCCTCTGTCACTTATTCAGTGCTGCTGGACAAACCATATCAGAAAACATATCAAGCAACACAACATATACCTGCACTTCCCCAAAGCAAAAGTAAGAATTATTTTTAGTTCTTGATGTAATAACCTTGTTCCCCCTCCCAATTCAATTCCAAAAGTCAAAGAATTAGAGCTTCAGTGCCTAAAAACCAACGAACCTTAGAATGTATAAAGCACTCTGGGTATTTATACATCCTTCAGCCCAGAAAATTCTGTACCTGAACTTTTCTCCTTGCTGATTTGCTTCCCTGAAACTGCTTCTAGCATCTGTGTTACTGAAGCTGCTTGCGATAGCAGGCAAAGTATCGTTAGGAATACCAGTAATCATGGACAGGAAAATAATGACTTGCCCAATCAATGACCAGAGACTCTGGCTAAAGAACACTCCTTCTCAGAAGTGGCCTTTATCCAGATGATGTCCTCACTTTGGAGGCTGGCCCTTAGATGAACCCAGGGATGGATGGACCCAGGGTCCGCTCCTGGTCACACAGGAAGCACAAATGAACCACCTGCACCTGTGCTTCCTGGGCCAGCCACCCCCTTCATCAGGTGCCATGCCATAACAGTTCCACTACAACAGTAACATGCAAATCCTGAATCACTGGACACAAGGAATGTCAAAGTCAAAACTAGTCGGTTTTTGCCTTTTTTGTGGGTTTTTATTTATTTTCCTTCATACATTTTTTTGCATATTTTTGAGACTAAAGTTAAGCTTCAGGTGCATGATGCAAGTAAATTGCCATGGATGAAAAAATGCTTCATTTGATACAAATCAATAGCATGTGTCTCTGTGGAAAATAATAAAAGAGATACCATTTATGTGATGCCAAGATCAGGAAATTTCGCAGTGGCCATCCTGGATAGTGAGATAAATTACACGGATCATAAACTCCAACTGTCACCTGCAAACGAAAGTGCTCTGAGAAGTCATCTATTAATACTGATATTCAGTTCACACTAACGCTTACCTGGCATTTTTAATGCAAAATATTTGTACACAGAATGACTACATACATATTTTACATATATTTTCTGCATGGTCCCACTAGATTTCAGTAAAACATTTGCTAGAGCTTTCAAAGCTCTCACTTCAGCTTCTTCATGAACATTCACATATTTCACTACAGCATATTAGCTTGCTTTAAATAAGGCATTGTGAGGAAAGCCCAATAACAGAAGCCTTGTTCCTTAAACAAAATTCTGCATCGATTTTGGTATGACCCAAAACTGAAAGGGGTCAATCCAGCATGAAATAAAGGAGAAAGAAAAACAACATAAAAATAACGCATAAAGCCAATCCTTCAAGATGAAATATAATATATAAGGAACTGGATGTTCTGTCTCATCTTCAACTGGTGTAATACCACGCACTTAATTGATGCGCCTAAACTTGATTACTTTACATTCAGTGCAGAACTAAAACTTAACCAGAAGTCAGGAAGATGCCACTACCTTTAGATATGCTGAAAATTTGAACTCGTTCATCACTAGAGCTACCCGTCTCTCTCATATCTACAGAGCTCTTCTTTCCCAGTTCTTGCTTCACCTACTGATAAACTTACAGCAACTCTTCTACATCAGTGAGGTGCCTCTAGGAACAGTCTGAAATGAATTAGACAAAACCTAATGCATAAACACAGGGGAGGCAAGGGTCCATTCCCCTGTCCCTCCTCCAGTCATACACTGCTGCTGCTTTGCACTTGCTGACTCAAGAAGGCATGAGACCTGTTAAAAAGCTGACCTTGTTCAATAAACTAGCAGTACATTAACACAGCAACAAACACATTTTTCTTCTAGGGGAGCAAGTTCAGCTGGCTCATGGAAATACTGACAAATTTCAGAGTCATCTCATTCAAGAAACTGCATCTGATAGCTCTTTGGCAGATCCCTTCAAAAAAGAACATTAACAAAGAAATGCGTTCCAAATGATTACAGATTTATCTTGCATTAAACTATCCCTATATAAATTAAGTGCTCGCTTGCCTGTGACCCACTACTGCACTTACACTACTTTTTAAAACCTCAGTTTTTAGTAAAAAGAGCACGCAGAACTCAGACTTAAAGCTGCCCATTAATTTGATACAACTTGGCTTCTGGATAAGGATGTAAACACCTAACTCTTGACACAGAAGTCAAGCCAAGCTGCCAGTCATCAGCTGTTTACCCAGTGCATTTATTGACCAACAAGTGTGCCCAATTCAGTATTACATGTATGTTTCAAATCACTTGTAAATTAAGTATGTGCAGGTTATAAACAGATGCAAAATACTCATTACCTTTCCCTCTTGGTCTTGAAAGAAACCATCCCATTTTTTGAGTGGAGATACAACCACTGAATTGTCATGATACTTGATTAAAAAATAAGGAAAGGCTGTAACCCCTTCTGACTGGCAAAGTTCATCATACGCTTTCTGAAGTGCTTGAATCTAAAAGCAAAAAGAATTGAAAGCAATAGTTGTAACGCTCCTATAAGGAAACACTGACATGTATCCTTATGCTCCGTCTCTGGAAGCGTTCAAAGCCAGGCCAGAGCATTCTGTGATTCATTCTATGATTCGGTGCAATTGCTACAGAATTCAGGAATGCTATCTCACCCAAGTTATTACAGAATACAGTGTATTCTGAAATTTTCAAGTCTATTATTACCACAATAATAGATTAAAAAGTGAATTGCTAAAGCTGCAATTGTCAACACAAATTTGAAACAGGTACACTGTAACCATTGCAGCAAACTGATCTACCAACAGAAAAAAAAAAAAACAAACAGAACCATAAAATGAAAGCTCATTCTAATAGTTACAACAGCTTGATAAGCAAGTAAGTCTACCCCTCTATTATTAGCAAAAGTTCTCTGATTTGTTTCCAAAGTAGAAGACCTGTACTCTTGCAGTCTTGCGTGTTGGCAAACATTAATCACACTGTAACACCATAGAGACTTCACCACTCTGTTTATTTTGGCATCCATTTCCAATATTCAGCCAAATTTTCTGGAAAATGACAACACTGTTACAGTGCTTATGACTACAGAAGTAACATAAGGGCATTCTGGGAATGAGGCAAGTATTTTCCACTGGAGAAAGAAAGAACTGAAAACTGTTTCTCATGGACTACTATAACATCAAAACCACACTCCAAGTTTCACATCAACTTCTGTCACAGTCAAAAAAGGTATTTGGAAAATTTGACTTTTTGTCCTCTCACAATGAAATAAGAAACAAACTGCAAAACACTGTCAGATGCTCTAAAAAACTATTCCCTATCAACATTTTTCTTGTCAAATCATACATTTTATTACGAGTTTTGTCATTTCTCCTGATCACTCATAGGATGTTCCTTTTAAAACCTTTCATTAAACAATGGTCAGTTTCAAAAATACTGTGTAGCAATTGGACAGATAAATACGATGGAAAAGGCATTACAAAGGTGCAATGACAGAAGGACCAGCACAATAGAAAGGTGCTATAAAAGAAAAGAAGAAGATTGCTCACCTGGATCAGAAGATTCCAGGTTCACAGGGGAAAGCTTCACCAAGGAGGGATCTCCAGAAAGAGATCCATCCCCAGTGGCAGTCATCCCTTCAATAAGGCCTAAGAGAGGTGCAGCCAGGCTCCAGCCCTTCCAGTCACACAGCTGAATTGCCTTCACCTGTGCTCCCAGGGTCTTTTGCCCAGGTGCTCAATCAGTGGTTCAGGCCATGATTCTGAAGTTCCCATACACACAGCCATGTAACTACCTCCCCTCCAGAGCTGTATGCCATGCCTGCATCTAACTTAAAGCTGAGGCAATGTTAAGGTGAAAGATTTTGTACAGGAAAAAAAAAATGGGGTAAACTACAAGTGAGAATAAGAAAAGAGAAGATTTTAAAAAGGAATTAGATTTGAAAATCCAGTACATGCTAATAAAAACACTAATCTTTATGGCAAGAAATCTACTCGGTGCTACAGAGTTCATAACACTTGGTATTTAGAATACCTGATTTAAAGAGAACCGGTCACCAAGACACACTGGTTTCTGAACTATATGTATTCCATCAGGGAAGCAGAGAGCAGGGTAGCAAAACCAGTAATAGAAATGATATTTTTTCAGGTCCTTGGAAAAAAACAAAACAAAAACAAAAAACCAAGATTAGATAACAAACAAATTAAAGGAAATTTCTATTTGTACTAACCATAGCTCTTATTTGACAAGTCACTGTCATGAACTGAAAGAAAACCGTGCATACTAGACTTCTTTCCTCTACATATCCTTCTAATCAGGACTTCAGCAGACAATTTGTGTACAATACTTCAGTGTTAGACAGAGCTTTGTGCTCTAGAATTGCAAATATGTTAAACGTGAGAGCTGCTCTGCTTTTACTAATACTTGTAAGGCACTCATATTCAGATACATTTTGCAATCTGAGAAGGTACCTGCATTTTTTAAAGAATACACTAAAAAAATCTTTTACATGTGTACATGAGAATGGCCTCAGAATTTTTTTAAATGTCTGAGATATTTTAAAATGTCTGAGAATGACCCTGATAACGAGAATATGGTACTACAAGTTCTCCTAAGAAGAAACTACTACATTTCCATTTCAATGCTCTGAGATATGTTATCATTACTCACTGCGAATGTCAACAGCAGGAACCTGTTCAAGAGCAGAGGGTTTTCAAGTGCAGCTCCAGATTTTATTGATTCCCATATCTGTAATTGATAGTTGATAGAAAGAAGAGAAAGGACTGAGAAACAAACAGAAAAAGAGTATAAGACCTCTAAGAGCTCCTCAACTCTCTGAACACAGTTAAAGTAACTGCATTGCGCCTGTCATTAATTGGAAGTACTGCACCACACCAGGCCTTGAGTGAAGATATACATGAAAGCTTTGTTACCCACAGACAGCAGGCAGCCAATAAATCTAATCCAAGGAATCAAAGACCAGTCAAAGTATAGCACCTCAAAAATAAAAAGGTTGCCTTTGTTAGACTTGCTCTTCTCCCTAAGCCATGACATTTAAATTAGTTGGTTACAGAACAAGCAGATAAGCCCCTTCCTTTGGCAGTCACCTTTCTCTTGCCTTATCTCAAACTTCTGGCTGTTTCCCATCACTTTGTCATATTGATAGATGGACTGCAGTAATTCAGTTTAAACTAGACACTTCCTGATTTCTGGATGCTGTAACAAATCAAAAACTGGATCTATAGAATGCAAGTCACTGGCAGCTCTAGTACACATTGCATTTAAAACACAGCTTTGTAGAAGCCTGAAAAAAAAAAAAAAGATCTCCAAGCATAATTATCAACTTGCTATTCTCTTGCAAAGAACAGTAAAAAAGCAAGTATCAAACTCCCATCATAATAAGTTAAATCCAAACCACATGGGTGAATTTGGACAGACTCTCTAATATTTGGGTCAGAGACTGTAAAGCAATTCACTGGCTATTTCCAAACCATCTCTTTACCAATGTAACAATCAGAAAGATCAACCCAATGGAATGGTGATACAGAAGGTGTAATGATAAAGGGACTAGCATGAATGAAAATGCTTTACAAAAGGAAAGGAAAAGCACTCACCCATGTCTGAAGATCTAGGCTCACTGGGAAAACCCCACAAGGAAGAGGTCTCCTACCAGAGGTCCTTCCCCAGTGCCAGTCAGCCCTTCTATGAGGTCTAAGAGAGGTGCAGCCAGGCTCCACCCCTTCCTGACACACAGCTGAATTGCTTTCACCTGTGCTCCCAGGCCTCATCAGACCCCTTTCCCAGGTGCTCAATCAGTGGCTCAGGCTTTGACTCAACAATTACCAATAAACCAGCTGATTTTATTTTAACATTACCTCATTTGCTTCTTTTTCCAAAAGTGATTTTTTATCACAGGACTTGAAAGCCTCGAAAGTGTTGGTATTATACAACGTTCCAAAAGCAGGACAGCAACGTGCTGGTATTGCAGCATTCCTGAGTTAAAAAGAAAAGAACACTGGGAATTGTGTACTAACATCTTCAGCATGATCAATAGTAGTAACAATTGCTCTGCTATGGGGAAAAATTGTCCAGAAACTGGAAAACGAGGCATAGTAACAAAAGCTAATGAAAGCAACACTGAAAACATTTTTCTGATCATAATGCTTTGTTAAATATGGATTGTTATAAGAAACTGTGGAAGAGAGCATCCACATTATGCTTTCAAAATTCATGAGGAATCTGGGTTTTTCTAGCAAGGCAGTACTGAATTAGGTTGAAGGAAAACTTCTAAAAAATGAATTCAAACAAACAATTAATGATAAATGTGATTTACACTAAGAAAGAATTAAGACTGAACTTTACACGTCAATACTTCATACACATAAAGAAATACTCAGTTAAAAAAAACTAAGCTGAAAAGGACACCACAAAGGAAGTCTAATCTGGACAGATGCCTGAGCATCTTTCCTAGTTTGTAACATCAGCTGGATTTGTAGCTGGATTATTTTCCATTATTTTATAATGGAAAATTTTCTGTAGCTAATTTTATAGACCTGATTAATTTAACTCCTTTAACATCATTCTTCCAAACTGATCATTTTGATGTTTCCATATCACAGCCTTCTTCCAAACACACTTTGCTGAAAACACTTTCAGTAGAACATCAAGAAGTTCTTAGATAAAAATGTGTCCTGTGAAATTATCTCAAAAAACACTATGCCTTGCTAGAACTCCTAATATCCTGAGAAAGTAGAGGAATTTGCTTCTGAGATCCCAACTTTGTGATCCATCAACTAAAAAAAAAAAAAAAAAAAAAGCATTGACTATGAAGGCATTTATCCAGATCCTATGTTAGTTACACTAATTTAGGCAATTAACTCAAAGTGAAAACTGGATGGAAAAAAAAAGATCGCCTCTCATCTCACTTTTGTTGTGTACACAGAACAACTTTGTTCTAGCTTCACCTTGGGAGTAAAAGCAAAATTGGGAAATTTCAGTCAAAGGTTAAATACTGCTTTCAAAGATATTACAGTGTAACAACCAGGATTGTAAAAGCTATTTTGAGATCTTAATTCTAAGGAAGAATATTTAGTTTATAAAGATATTAAGAAAGCTTTAACCAGAAATCAGATGACTGAAATCATTATTTAGACAAAAGTGTCTATGAAATGTGGGAAAAAAGGGTATTATATAAACACATATAAACACTAAGTGAAACTGAGACTTGTCAGTGTATTTCAAGCTTGACCCTTCAGATGAATACACTGCTTCAAAAGCAGGGAGCAGTACTCCAAGGCACAAATACTCTTTCTGCAGTTATAAAGTTCATGAGAAAGTGAATTGATCTCTTATAGAATTTTTCCAAGTCATACTTGGAAAAGCATTACTGTTATGCAAGGAAAGCTTCTCCACATATGAATTAGGGTAAAGCAGAATACATACTTACATGTCAAAGGCACTAAATTCCAACGTCAAACGAGCTGGGAAACCTGATGGATCGCCTGGCCAAAAAGAAGCAACATGCATCTTTTAAACTACAATACATATGCTTTAAAGTTAGAGAAACTAATCTAGGGCTATAAGAAACCCATGGACACACCAGAATTCCCATCTCATCCAGCAGTGCTCCTAATCCTAGCAATGTCTCAGCAAAATACCTTATACACATTAAATGAATATTTAGAGGAGCAACAGGAGAAACCCAAACTACTAAGAGAGACATTCAGTTTCTACCTACCATTATAGTAGTACCCTTTGATAACCTTTGGAGTCTCATCTAATCGGTACTCATTGAGCTTCTTCTGGGTTAGTTCATGCCAGAATCCTACGTTCAAGGCACTACTGAAGGGAGCAAACTGCAGCTTTGAACTTCCAGGATCCACAGGATGGTGGGACTCATTGCTGACTGCTGCCATGATTGCAGTTCACTATTAAACATACAGGCAAAGAGAATTCTGTAAAAGCAGATAAGCTATATGAGTATATTCTCCAATGACCATGTCACACTGAACTACTTCAAGTTTCTTTTAAATACACTTCAAGTAGTACATATATAAAGTATGTACTACACACACTTTATGTGAAGTATAAAAAACTGTTATTCCTTGAAAATTTAAGAAGCTTGGTGCAATGAAAACAGCTTTCACAGATTTTCCTAATGCTTTTTGGAACAGGGGAAAAGAAAACGATGTTTTTAATTCCTTAATGACTGCCAAATGACCAGCTTCTTCTTTGAAAGAATTTCTCATATTAATCAGAAAGACACAGTAACGTTTTTCCTTTCACAATATTTCCTCAAGCAAATTATTTGGACATAATCCATGTTACTGTTTCTAAGAGTACAGACATGATCCCCTTTTCCTACCTTAAAGACTTTCCTTATTTCTGGGTAAATTGTGAAATGTAACAGAAAAATACATGTTTGATGTGTTCCATCATGGTAGATACATGGTTCTCTCACAACGTCTTCTTTTAAACAGAGTAGCTGACATTTCTTGTTGCTTAATTTCACTTTATTTTTCTTTTCAGTTTTTATTTTTAATAACTAGAATTTGTGATATCATAAATTTTTCACAGTTTGTTTAAAAATACCTTCTCATATCACTTCTATTAGCATAAGGAAAGTTTTCTTGAAAACTTGACTATACAATGGCTGTACAAAGTAGAGCTATCTGCATGGCATTTTCTGATCATTTTAATAAGACTTGCTTTTCCTGCACTTAAGATGTAGAAGTCACATATACTTACGTATTAATAACCAGCTAGTTTAAATTTCACTAAATAAATAAATAAATATTAAACCCTACAGAATTTATTTTTCAAGAAAAAATACTAGAAAAAAAAAATACAGACTGCTCATCACAAGGCAAGCAAACAGTCATGCGTCACAAAGGCATTAGCAATAACTGAGTCAGGTTGCATTGCATGTCATGCCAAAATGCCTATAATAAAACTTTTAATGAGAGTTTTGATTAGGCAGCTAGTGAAACCAATCCATAAACACTCTCTTCTCTTCCTACTGATTTGTTGTCAGAAGCAAGTTCAGGAAAGTATTAATTAGCACTTTTTCCAATTTATAACAAAAAGCAACATGAAGTCAATGCCTACTCCACCAGTCAAGCTTTATTATAACGAGAGATCTACTCATTTTTAATTATTTGCTCTTTTTCAGCCTTTGGAATAAGCTTTCATTTTATCCCCCTTCTCCATTTAACTACAGGTACGTGACACACCCAACAAACTGTACTGTCAAATACTTTAAATGACCAAGAACCCAGATGCCAACACCAAGCAGTCACGTACCACGAGCTGAAAACACTAGCCTAAAAGCATCCACTGCAAATGAACTTCAAGACCCTACTTAATTCCACTATTCCTGTACCTAAAGAGCTGTTGTTAAGAAACACTATGCTATATATGTGTAAACAGAACAGAATAGACAGTCATTTCTGATCTACTGACACTTTCGAAAATATAATTTTATGCATTTGCATGCAAATACTCAAGTGCTTTCTTATACAAGATCAGTACATTAAACTTTGTGCAACAAGTTACATATAAATGTGTTGTAGGTACATTTTGTAGAACTTGCAGATAGAAACCCATGGCTTCTAACAGTCACAAGGAGAATGTGAGGAATAAACAGACATCAGAAATCTGGAATTTCACAAGAGTTCAGCTGCAAAGTGAGCTTGAAGCAAGAAGGTTTACCAATACAATTTAGAGATAACTCCTGAGTTCTGTAACTGACAGGAAATCTAACAAGCGCAATGGACAACAACGGCCAGAAAAAAAGTACAAGTTCTTGCATCTGCTGTTAAACATACAGACATTCAGATGAGTCTAATTGCAAAATATGTCCAGAAAACCACAGAGCAGCTGTTTCAGTAACACCTGTCCTGTCCTTGAGGGAGGACGTAATCTGCCGTAAGAACACGATTAGCAGTTACATATCCTCTGGAACCATCATGATGTTACAGGTTTTAAACCAGATTCACAAAAACACCTTAAAATCCACATTTTCTATAAAATCCCGCTCTGTGTTACAGAATAGAGAATATTCTGAAGACCTCCTTTCTATGAGCAAAGGCAAAGCACTACCTAAGGTGCTTTTTCAGAAAAGCTGAGCCAGACATTGAACTTATCTGATGTTTGTTATCAAGCCTATTTTTGGAGCACGGAAAGCTTTCCCTATTTCTAGGATCACAGCAGGATTGGGATGGAAGGCACCTCGCAGTCCCCAGCCTTGCTGTGGGCTGGCTGCCCCCCAGCTCGGCTGCCCAGGGCTCCTCCACGGCCTGGGGCACCTCCAGGAAATATTACTCCCGTCTCGCCTTGCAGACGAGCTGCCCCGCCAGCTGCCAGCCCTGAGCGCGGCAGGCGCCACCCGCACAGCCCCGCAAAGGAACGCTGCCTCCTCACTGCGGCACCGCAAGGGACGAACTCCCTCCCGCCCTCCGTGACAGAACCCGAACTCCCGCTCTGGAAGCGAGACCAGCCCGGAGCACGGCGAGCTCGGGGCACGCAGCCGGGAGCCTGAAGGCAGCAGACGCCCTCAGTGCCCCTCAGCCACCGCCGCCTCCTCACACCAGACGGTCCCCAACCGCGCACGGCCGCTCACCGGCTCCAGCGCGCAGTACTTCCGGCATTACCAGCTGACGCGAAGCGTGACGGTGCCGTACCTCTATCACGTGACGAAGAGGGCGGGAAGGGAGCAGGCGTGCGGCGGAGGAGCGTCCATTGCGCACGCGCCCGACCGTTGGCTCCGCCTGAGGCGGGAATGTCAGTCGGCGCAGCGCTGCTCCCTTGTGGCGGCGCGGCGTGGTGCGGGGTAGTGCCCGCGGCAGCCCAGCCCAAACCGATTCTGAAGGTTCTTTTCTGTGCCGTCCAGAGTGCATTCGCTGTAACAACTGCTTGAATAGGCGAGAAGATACGAAGTGCGCTCACTTTATGGCTTGTGAAATAATATGGACTTACAACCCACCCTCTCCTCCTCTGCGGTTATGACTGTTAGACCATCCTGCACAAGGATGCTATGCTTTGAGTAGGTGCTGATGTGCTGGTGAAGCGTTGAAGGATTCCAGATTTATCAAGCATATTTAGTCAGCTAAATCATACGAATGATAAACGATATAAAAGCATGCTGGCTGAATATTGGAGACGTTCCCAGTTTTATGTCAGCAAATGTCCTCAGCCCAGGTATGCCAGCTGTGACTTGGTGCTGTAGCTGTTGCCAATATATTTAGTCCCTAACATGATATAGGCATTGTCTCTGAAGCCTTTACCTTCAGTGAGACTGGCAAGAGAAGTAATCTGAGCAAGGAATGGATTCAATGGGTGGTCAATAAGCTTCTTAAAACCCAGATTTTGAGCACGGAAATCCATGCTCAACAAGTAGAAAAAACAGCCACCAGCAGGTTATTGGTTTTTCAGGCAGGTTGAGACCTGTGCTGGTAATGTTTAACACCCCTATTACCATTCTGGATGACACCACAGTAAGGGCAGCAGCTGAAATGCTGCAGGACTGGGCTCTGCGAGGAACCTCAACACCCTGCTGTGGCTGAGAGGAGCTCACCAAGGCCAGCAAGGACACGTCAAATGGGAAATCTGTACCTGGAAGAGACTAACTGTGCATGCCACCAGCTACATCACTGTGAGCTGGGGACTCCCTGGATGGCAGCTTTGCAGGAGTTAAATAATACAGAGAATGAAACATATAGTAGGTGGCAGGATCCACTTACAAATTGCACCCCTCCTTTAATAAACTGGCATGCTACTTCGTACTTGATACAGAATCCCACAATTCTTCTCATTTCCCTCTAGATGTCCTCACTGACACAAAGAAACGTGGAAGGGTGAGTGTATTTTTCTGCTTCTTAAAATTGGTTGCTCTAACCACACCCTCAACAAAGTAGAACTTCAGTCCAAGAAATTCCAAGAAATTCATTATGTCCACTTAAAACTGTGAGTCCTCTGACCTTGATTATTAACTGGAAAGTGTTGAAAATATTTGCAGGAAACCACGCCTGGAGGCTTGGCCCCACGTGGCAGTAGGTTTCTTCATTCCTTACCCTGATTTGCTTTTCTCTGCTTCTCGGTAGAAGAAACTGATAAATCCTGTTACATACTTTGCTAATTGGAAGCTTAAGACAGGAAGTCTCCAATTTTCCTGTTTTGTTATTTTGTTATTTATCACATCAGAGAAGTCTACTATGACAACTTTCCCCATATTTGTAATTGGCACATTTAGATTATGGATAAAACTGAAAGGATATTAAATAATAACAATAATAATAATAATCATCATCATCATCCAGGCATCTTATTTGTTTAATTTTTTTTTCTTTTGTACTTGAATAGTTTTTAATCATACCAGAAATACGCTTTGATTTTTAATGGTGATCTTATTTCACTGGTTTTGTTATAGTTGCTGTTTCATTTATTAACATGCTGTAAAGTCAGAAAAGGCAATTGTCACAGTCAACACTTTTTGATAATCTAGGTAGCCCCTGGGTTATCATGTTCTACTGCTATGCATTAGTAACTGCAGCTGAATCATTATCCTGTTTTATTTCCCTAGTGCACACCTGAATTACCATCTATTTTATATAGAATTGCTGTTGCACGTTATAATAGAAAAAAAAAAAAAGAGCAGAATGGCTATTGATCTCAAGAATAGTTTGTGAATGGCTTTGAATAAGAGTGTATGTTCCAAAATTTGCTGCTCTGTGGTCTAAAAGGTTTGTTTTATTACTTGCACAGACACTGTTCCTGCAGTACAAAAGTTGCCAGAATTACTGAATGAATGTTACTAATTTATATATACATATATATATACACACACACACTATCTGTATATTTTGGCATATTTTTTTCTACATTAGAGTTTTCTGATTGCAGTCGTTGCTGAATACTACTTAAGACCAAATTTAATCAATCTCTGAACCTTGTCTGATACACTGACTACGTTCATTAACTTAGTGCATTTTTCCAAAATCGAGCTAACCACTTAGAAAACTGTGGATACTAGGCTTTCATTTAATGTTAAGTACTATAAAAAAAAATCTATTGACGCTCAGGTATTTAATTAACAGATATAAAACGGAAAGGATAATAATACTTCGCATTTATTTAGTGTACTGCATCCAAAAATTAAAAGCATGATGTAAATGTCTTAAGTGTTTAATTGTTCTTCTATGTTTTGTCACGTTCACTTGCAAAATAGGCATGTGTGGCACAGAAAGACTCTAAGTAGCTCAAGATCAGTAAGAATATAGAATTGAGAATTGCTCCTGCAACTGTTACCATTTTTCTCTCCTGATGTAAAAAGATATTACACAGCACATCCATTTCACTTTTCCCACCAAACATATGACAGCACTCTGCTAAAACAGCTCCGGTTCTGTCAGACCTTTGCTGTTCTCAGAAGCAAGTAAACATTCTAAAAGTGGTAAATACATCAACACAGCAAAACGTCAATGAGTGTCGGTGCTCAGTCAAGTTAGAGAGTTCTCACAGTTCCTTTTAGCATCAGAATAGTTGTACTTTATTGTGTTCAACATACATCTTATATACCACTCATTTACAAACAAGAAATTCCTGTTCCTCCAACAGTTCCTCTAATCATTTAATTGACCCTAACTTCTCCCAAACAACAGTGATAAAGGGTGAAAGGTTTCTTAAGTGTGACAGGATTAACAAGGCATAGGAAAGAACCTCCTGTTCACCCTTATAGGCAAAAAGACACTGTTTGCTCTCTGTCACACACTCCGGTCTCCCAGGTTTCACAGTGATAAGGTCTATCAAAGAGTCTGATAAGTTCTTTGGTGACTCACAGTTACATCTTCCCCCACAAACGAGAATATATTCTTTTCACAGTGAACTTTCAGGATGCCTCACCAGTCACCTTTCCTAAAATGTATGGAACATTCACCATTAAATGCAATTCATTACTATATACGAATATGACATCTGCTGCAGAAGATATAACAGAATCTCAGAATCACAGAATTTTAGGGGCTGGAAGGGACTTTTAGAGATCGAGTCCAGCCCCCTGGTTCTGGTCTTCTTAAAACTGACTGGAGTCCCATAGCAATTCTGCCCCAGAGGTCAGATTTAGTGTTTGCTCAAAATGTTTCTTTCGCTTAGTTCCATTACATTACAGAAATGAATGCTTCACTTGTGTACTTGTGTGTCTTGACGTATTTGGATCATACAGGACCAGAGATCTCCTTGGCCTCAATTCTGATTCTTTCTTCCCAATCTGCAGACTTTGGTTTATGTTGATGTAACTGTTCTGTTAAGTCATCAGCTCATGTAATGTAGGTGACTGCATTCTTTTGCTAAGGAACTATGTTTTCTTCCTTTGACTGGAAAGTAGGGTTTACCTCACTGCGCTGTTCATACTTAGAAACAGTGAAATGGATGGCTTAACGAGGGAATGACTTGAGCTGCTAGGGTGAAACCTGCAAACCTCTGTGTCAAAGCTGCCTTCCAGCTTTTTCAAAGGAAGCCCTTTTCATGTGTTGTTGAATGGATGAGGCCCTGAGGATACTGCAAAAGCACAGCTTTGAGTTGTAGGCTGTATTTAAGTGGCTTCTTGAGACTCTTTGCAACCATAAGTATTCTATCATTCTGCTTCTTCTAAAATATTTAACAGTGTTTACAGCACAACTTATGTAAGTAAAGGACAGGAAAGGTAAAAATACTTCATGTATTTTATTTCCTGTTTTGCAAGCTTGAGTTGCTGCTTAGGACTTTGTCTCACTGTAGCGAGAAGAGTTTGCCTGTCATAAAGATATGCATTAGCATTGCTTCTGCATGCTTAGTCTATTTGCCAAGTCATAGGAGGAATAAAATACATATAGGCCACAATCAGGTATATTCTCAAAGAAAATATGTTGTCAGAGACAACAGCCTACCCTTCTTGATATAATCTTGAGTTCGGAATGTCTTAGCAAAATGTGTAGGACAAACAATACTTCTTTTTTCAGTGAAGTTGAAGTGTACTGGTATAAATGAAGCAAGCCTTATATTAAGTAGATACTGTAGGTTAAACTATGACTTCCAAACAAGTGTATGACTTGGAGAAAGCTATAAATAAACAGTGTAGATTTCTTCAAACAGTAGAAGCTTCTTTTTTAACTGTGCAAAGTACCTCTTTCTGCAGAAGACCTCTCTTCACAAGCAGTGTGTTCCCTGTTCAAAGCAGTAAGTTAAAAAAGAAAAAAATCCTTTGACCGATCACAGAAAGTGTTCTCCTTCTGCCTTTTCCATAGCTGAATAACTTATAATCCCTGATGATCTCTTTTTGTACACTCAGATTAGTTCTATATGACGAAAGAGAGAATCTCAAATCATAAAATATTTACAATAGTGTAACAGATCTGAGACTGGCTACTGAGCTTTTCGGATTCCTGATAAGAATTCATTCTTCAAACATGCTGAAGCTGTTATATGAACATATCCCACTTTTACCAACACTTGTTTATAAATTAGTTTTCCAAAGCCTTCTAATTTATCTCAGTATTTGCCTTTGAAACTGGAACATTTCATTTGATTGATTTTATGGGTTGCTTTTTAGCTCAGAAAAACAGCCAGTGTGATATTACTGAATGTGAAGGATCTTTTTGAATGTCTTCTTGAAATTTTCATTACAAAGAGGATACAGGAATGGATTTAAGGTGGAATTCACATAGCCGAGCCATATAGTGAACATATGTAATTTGTAA